TATTCGTGTTCACCAGCACAATCTGGGAGGCAGAGTGCTGACATCACCAGCTGGGGCTGAGGCTGCCTGGCCTCCACTCCTGAGTGACTGGGTGCAGGGAACACATTGATTATGGAGTCAGACTCCTGGGTTCAACATCACCCTTGGAAAACCAGCTCTACTCCGGTCTTAAAGATGCTGAAACAAACTTGCTCCTCCCAAGTGGCCCGGACTGGAAGCAACAAGTCCCCTTCCAGTAGGGTGACCAGACAGCAAGTGTGAAAAATCGGGACACGGGGGGGGAGAGGGGGGAAAGGGGGGTAATAGGAGCCTATATACGAAAAAGACCCAAAAATCGGGACTGTCCCTATAAAATCGGGACATCTGGTCACCCTACCTTCCAGGTGGATGTAGTCTGAGCTTGTGTTACAGCTCAGAAAAGTAACAACAGTGTGGTACCCAGTTGCACGCTCTGAAGATGTCCCATCACCACCACTTGTGCAGCCAGGCAATGCTCAATGCTTTGGTACAATCACACGTTCTAACCTCATGAAACTCACTTCCCTCTTATTGAAATCCCAGTGTTAGGCCTTGATTCAGGAAAGCATTTAAGCATGCGCTTCACTTTAAGCATGTGCTTAATTCCCCTTGACTTCAGTTTGCTTATATATATGCTTAAAGTTAAGCACCTGCTCAAGTGCTCTCCTGGTTTGTGACCATAATGCAGAAACCCATTATAGAAAGACATCTAAGCAGAGTAAGGGTTGGCAGGCCCAGTAGGTCTTTGGGAACAAGTGCTTGCTCACATTTTATACCAGAATCCCTAGTACTCAACCAGTGCTAGACTGGTGCAGGATGTTTCCAGGTGTGTTCAGCTCCCAGAGGTACATTTCAGGAGCACTGCCTGGCACAGCTGCCCTTGGTCACTGGAGCTGTCTCCACGTTGAGAATAATTGTAGACAAAATCACTTTGTGCAATTGAGGGTGAGAACATGTCGAGTGCTCTCCTGATCTCAGGGTCGTTTCTCTGACATGTGACCTGCGTGGCTGGTGCATTTTGTTACTGTACGATGTCTGGAAATACTGGTTCAAGGCCTCCTAAAGTCCTTTCTTGCCACAAACTAGCTGCATCCTTCCATTACAGCAGCATGCAGCCCTTTGAATAGGGAGAATCTGGTTTGTAGCCTCCAAAAGCCATCTGAATCCCACTGAGCTTGCTGGAGCACCAAGGAGATGCCCTGAAAAGCCCTAGAGAAAACTTAAATGAAGGGGACAAAGATACTAAGTTACATGGAGCCAAAGCATCTCCTGAGTTGCACCCACGCTGTGCCCCAAAGTCCTGGCATGCGACCGGGTCCTCTTCAACTTCCCTTAGTGGATGATAAAGGATAAAAAGGAATAAAATAAATATTCAGATCAGAGAAAAAGATTCTCTACCCCAGGTGAGAAAACTTCAGCCTTCTGTTCGTTATGCTGCGGCCCTTCCTTTCAGTAATCCACATGCCTGTTAATCAATGTGCCCAGCCACTGCACCTGTCAGCAAGGGGGGGGGTCTTCACACTTTGCAAATATTAATTAAGACTCCATCCCCTTCCCCCCGTTAGGTAGCACCCTGTGTAGAACTATACCCATTACACAGAGGGGAAAATTGAGGCATTGCAAGTTAGAACCAAAGTCTTCAAACTTGGCTAGTTCTAGTCAGGCCTCTAAATCCTTAATTAGGCTCACAGTAACTGGGCTGATTTTCACAGGTGCTGAACACTCATGACACCGCTGGATCTCAGGCCTCATTTTTACTTAGCGCCTGCAATGGGGTTTCCACTCACCACCAGGGCACCTCCTTGTGTCTAGGCTTGGCAAAGTGGCTCTCACAACACCAGGTGCCCCCTTCTGCTGTCTGCTCCCTCTGCGACCATCTCTCTTCAGGGAACTTGGCTTTATAGTGCTGGCCCAGCCCTCCCCCAGCTGGGCTTCACACTCAGTTAACCCTGGCCTTCCTCTCAGGTGACTCGAGGTGCCCATTTGGCCACTCGGGACCTCATTAATCCTGCCAGGGCTCTGTGGGGTGCACACCCCATCACAGAGTTTAACTATCAGAGTTTTGGTACCGAACACTGGACACCCAAGTGTGACAGTCTGGGACATGGTGACCACAGACAAAAATAGAACCCAGGAGTCCTAATTCCCTAACCCCTGGACCATACACACTGTCCTCTATACCCTCAAAAGAACTCCTGGCCAGTTTAAATTAAATACCCTGCCTTCCTGGAGTCCTCCTGACCCTGAAAGTATTTAATAATGGAAACAAAACCTAAATAGGAATTAACGGACTACAAAAGGCTCCAGTTTGCTTGTTACACAAGGACGAACCTTTAAAAAAATTATGTCTATGATGATCATCTACATTTGACCATTGCACTTTGGTTGGGGGAGGAGGGGGGTGGTAGTTTAAATCAGCCAGAGTCCTGCAGGCAGGGATGACAACTTCACAGCGGGTTCACAGAGAGATTGGTAGAGGGTACAGAGGAATGAGGGGCCATTAATCTTTCCGGGTGAATCTCTGGGGCCAGCAGGCAGGATGGAAGCAGTTTAGCATAACACAGGGCTGTAAAACCATCCTGAGAGAACACTGGTGGTGGTGGTGGTAGGATGCTACGTCGGCAGGGTCCATTTTGCTGGGCTAATTCCATTACTAGCTGGAAGCAGCAAACTACACCTGATCCCAGGAAGTATTAATAACACTCCTGTTTATAGACAGCTCAGCTCTCTTTTCAGGTGGGTTAATCAACAGAGCAAAACCAGCTACAAATAAACAGGATCAGGAGATGTTATCAGGACTAGTTGTCTGCCCCATGTGCTAGGAGGGGAGCACACTGTGTTCAGTACACTGGTGAGACTGTACCCGCCACACTGTGTCGTATCCGGACACTTTGTTAATCCGGAGTCCAGGGAAGGCCAGAAATGACCAAGGGGTGGGACGGTTTGAGTTGAGGAAATATTAGACATAAATATGTCTATAGCTAAGACAAGTGACTGCTGAGTTGGAGGAAGGTGTGTGCAGAGGTGCGGTGCAAATGTCTGAAGCAGGAGGGACTGAAAGGCGAGTAGGACTGATCACATGAGACTAAGAGGAGGGAAATACAAGTCTGATTACCAGGACCAGCTCCCTGATGGTGAGAAAGTTCAGACTGCAGGGATGTCTCCCAAGGGAAGTGGTGGAAGCCCTGCGGCCTGGGACACCGAACACAGACCTGGTACATGCACTGCAAGGACTGCTGCAGGGGATAGCTTTCCAGCTCGGCTTTCTCTGACCCTGCCCTGCTATTTACTATTTTTAACAATGATTTATTGTTTTTACTATTTCCAATAAAACGAAGGAGAGATCCATTTTTCACTTTCAGAGGCTCCTCTCTTCCCCTTCCCCCATCCCCTTGCTATAGAGAATGAGTCATTGTCTGCGAACCTTTTTCAAAACAGCTCTTCTAAAATTCTGTATCAAATCACAAGCATTTCTAGTCCACGAGCCAGCACAGGGGAGCTGGGAGCAGAAGCCCTAGGATGCTGTTGATCTGCTGCATGAAAACAAAGAGCCTTAAAGCAGGAATCCTTCTGCTTGGCATAAATCTTTTACCCCACTGTCCCTTGTCTAGCAACTCATTTAGTGCCCATCAAGTGGGGACACAGGGGGCCTGTGAGCTCATTATGTTCTTTAAAGCCCTGTTTGTGTCTGGAATTGTATTTCAGGGCTGGCTGTTTTGTTTTGCAGACAGATAACACGTGTTCATGGGAGAGTCAGCTGCATAGTCACACACAGAAAGGGCAAACTGCAGATTTTTAACTGCCACAGCGCAGCTTTACAAAACACGCTCCTACCTGAGCCCACGCGCTATGTCACTCCAGCATCGGAGGAGGGGGGCACCGGCCTGTGGGTAAGGTTGAGGACACATTTACACTCGGGATGACTGGCCATGGATCAGGTCGAGTATTTTCATTCAGTGGAGACAGATCACCAACAATTCCAGTGTCTCATCAGAATCAAATGTTTTGCTCAACCTGAACCACTGATAACCCAGCTTGTACTATCCAAGGATTTGGCTTTTGTTTCATACTCTCACATACAGATTAATACGGTGAAATGCGTGCGGTCAGCCCCAATGAGCCATTAATTCCGCTCACTTCCACTAGCATGACAACCTGTAAAGACCTGGAGTTGCTTTCACAACACTGGTCTTTGCAACCTGAGCTGCTGTGATGAGTTTGGTCAGAGCTGCCCCATGGAAAGGCAGCTCCAATCTTTACAGGAACGACAGGATTTCTAGAAATGTGCCTTCACTTTATCGAACCAGTGCCAGGTTGGAAAGTTTTCCAGACTTGACTGCAATGGGGAGAACCAAGTTATTTTCCTACAGGTACCAGCATTGGCTTTCAAGACTCACGGCCCTCGGAACGTAACTTCCCGTGGTGTTTGGGTCAACCTAGAGGAGTCAATCTGGTGAAAGCCTCTGCAGCTGGTAGGCTGTCTGACTCTGAGGCCTTTGAAGCCTTCAGCCCCCGATTAACCAACAAAATGTGATGCTTATTAACAATACCGGGGGAAGTATTTTAAAGGCTGACAGGGAGAAGTGGGGTGGGTAATACTGAATGTATTCTGGTCCCCTGTCCACCCCCTCCTGCAGGTATGATGGCGTATGTACTACCTACACACACCTGGCACAGAATCCTCAGTAGTCCAATGACTAGTTCAAGAATCCTTCCCCCATTTACACACACACACACACACACACACCTTGCAGCTCTCCAAGCAATGGATACCGTGGCACAGGTACACACAAGGACCCTGAAATAACAGCAATATAAACAAACCTGGTTCCTGAGCCTGAGAAGTTTATGAAACCATCTTCCTCCCTTCACACAAACAAACATTCTGCTATTAAACAGCTCTGATTTCCCCATAAACTTTTCTAACGACAAGCTAGACAGATTCAAACAACAAGCAAAACAAGGAGGGATGCGGGCAGTACCTTTCTATTGCTGGCTGGGCTGGCGCTAGAGGATAACAGAGCTGTTCCAGTGATGCTGCTGAGATAGAAGCACTCTGGAGTTACGATTACAGCTTTCCCCGCTCTGCGACCAGATCTTTCAGCAGCCCAGACCCACTGTGCTGGAAATGCACTTAGTAATTATCTGCAAGAGACCAGACTCCGCCCCCCAACAGCTCTGATTGGTCCTCTGGCCCTGTGCAAGTCTGCATTGGTTTCAGTCAATCTACTATTATCCAGAGCCTCAAAAGAACTGAATTCTATGTCCCATGTATAAGGGGTATTGGGGTGAGCGTGACAGGTCGGGGCGGGGGGAGGGGAGAACAGACTGACTCGCGCAGAGCAGAGACTAAGTCAAAAGCACCTTGAAATTATATTTCTTATGGTGTTAGTAAAAGGATGTATGAGTCTGATTTAAAGGGTACAGACTGGGATGGGTATCATAGAATCATAGAAGTGTAGGACTGGAAGGGACCTGGAGAGGTTGTCTGGTCCTATCCCCAGCACTCATGCCAGGACTACGTATTATCTAGACCATCCCTGACAGGTGTTTGTCTAACCTGCTCTTAACCACCCTGACAGTTCAGGTAGTT